TTTTTTTGTTTATTTGCTTCCACTTTATGTAGCCTCACTTTTATATCTTTCTTTTTATTTTCGTTACAAGAAGAATCACTTTACTGCCCACAATGTAATATGGTGCAGAACTAAGTCGTACCTACCCTACTAATTGGAATTATAATGTCTTTCCCCTCCCTCTCCATGACAGTGGGTTTTATTTTTAATTTTTAATTAATTCTTTTGTTTGTTTCTATATTAATGGACATCTGGTGAACCTCATTGATTGATAGATTTGATTTGTAGGTGGGTGTGGAAGAAGACTCCAGGTTGCTGTCGTTTATAAATTTCCAATTAAAATACTGCTTTATTGATAGTTTGCTCAGCCCCCTTTCATTGGACCACGAACTCATCTATTTTCATCCACTGCTGCACCACCAGCCCAGTTGCACGGCAACCCTAAATCAAAAAAAGTATCAATATCACACACCCCCCACCCCATTATTATTTTTATATTTGATGACATCACCATCGCCTCTGTAGAACAGCTTAGAGAGAAAGGAACAAAGTAAAAAAGCAAACTAAAAGTAAAAGGAAGGAAAGAGATAGAGATAGAGGTACTTTTTTGTCATAGTCTGACTCTCTCTGTGTCTACCACCAATTCTGCTTTGCGTGCTCCGGCCAAGTTTAGAGGTTTGTATATAGCGGCACTACCAGTTTATTATTATCCATCCTCACCATCCTCCCTTTGATTGTTTGAGTCTTCCTTTTGGAGGGAGTGTGAGAAGGGTGCAACTCCATATATATATATATATATATAGATAATCCCATGGGCTTATATTTCAGGCATTGGTACTTGCAAACCCAGCTGCAACAAACAAACTTTTGTTATATATATATATATATATATATATATGGGTGTATAAAAATATATTTATATATTTATATACAAAAAAGCACAAATCGAGATGAAGCTCTAAACCGTCTATTGTCAGGACCTGACAGGAAGATGAAGGGGAAAGGGTTAATGGAGGGAAAGGGGGTTGGATGCACCCCCATACATTCCACCACAGCCCAGCTTAAGACTAGGACAAAAACAAAACAAACCCTAATTCCAAATTACAAAATTTAAAAATAAATAATTAAACACGTGGCTTGATTCTTGTGTTTCTTTCTAATAAATAAATTTATTAACTGGAAAAATCATCTTTACAAAAAAAATATATAATAATATAAAAACAATGACATTAAAAGATGCAACAAAGTGTGTTTTAAGTTGAGATTTTAGAAAGGTCTTTCATACCAATCAGCAAAGATTTAATCAAGAATATTTTATTTCATCTATCTGATGCAACAAAAAACTACAACAAATCTGATTATACCACAACAAATTTAATGATCAGATAGTTAAAACATCTATGCAGTGACCATGAAGATAAAACTATTTTAATTCCAAGTAGTAATAGTTTGAATGATTCGTTTGTCTAATTGATAGTATTAGTCTGCATTTTTTGTTCTGCAAAGTATTACTTGATGTTTATTATTATTTACTTGAGTTTTGCAACAAATTTTTCAACAAGTGTTTTCACTTAAGTAAATGAATGGGTGTGTGCATATATATATACACCTGAATACATATACCGGATTCATATTTTTAACTTACCTATTTAGGTTTCCTATGAACAAATTAGAATAAACTGCCATGAATTCAAATATAGATTTATATATAAATATAGTGACAATGTATGGTGTATGACCTACACCAAATAAATACCACACCTATTACAATGTCACCTATCACAATAAATCAGGGTATATTTGAAATTTTCAATAACCCAATTAAAGAATCCTCTATGTTAATATGTTTATTTGAGCCAATCTTGCATAATTTAAACATAAATGTCCCTGAGCTATGTGTGTGAGTGTATATTTACAAACACACACACACACACACACACACATATATATATATATATATATATATATATCACAAAAAGTTTTTGAAATGGGTTAATATTTGGTTTCATATTTGTTCAATTAAACTTGTCATACATTATCTTTTAAACATTCTTTTTCACTTTGTCACAAATTATTCATATATTTATTAGACACACACACACACACATGTACATTTAAAAAATATGTGTGTTGTTTCAGGAACCACCTTGAATTATTTTAATTAGTTAAACGTTTATTTTAAAAATATAGTTTGTTTGTAATGAAATAAATTGCTATGAAACATCTGATACTTTTACCAAAAGAATGTTACTGAACCATGGTGTTATTTCAAGTATTATGTTAGTTTATATATATATATATATATATATAGATAAATATGCACTATGAATCTCTGAGTTAAAAATACAATCTAGTGTCGTTGGATTTCAGCATTCATTGTAATTTAAAATTTAAAGATAAGATTTTTTAGCTGTTTATTCAAATCTAAACTCATTATTGTACTGAGTACAGATGAATCTACTTGAAATCAATAAAATGTTAAGCAAAGCCATTTGATGACCAATTTTTCCTACAGGTGATCAATGTCAGTGAAGCAAATAATTTAAATTTGTTACTAAAACAATTCATTTACATTGAAATGTTATTCATTGTCATTGTTTGACATTACATTCATCACTGGGTATTGAATATTGGTCCTGATGTCACACCCTTTTGCTATGGTTCATCAAATACAATTAAAATATCTCTAACTTGTGATTTCAGTTTTCAAATCAATGAGACATTTTTTACTGCCATACAGCAACCTTTTGTGGCCTTAAGTAGGTAGGTTTGGACTGTGTATACTCAAGTTTTCAAATATCAGAGTATGTTATTGTAATATTCAAATGTTTGTAACTTCAATAACAAAAGTGACTTCAACAAAAAGTAGTTTATTTTATAATACTATAAACATTACATGCTCTTTAATAATTTTACTTCACTATTACATGTCATTTATAAATATAAAGTTTCACACAAAAATGATCTTGATCTAACATTTCAAATGTATGAATATGCACTGTGTTTTGAAACCTACACATTATAATACTTGTGTTATTGGTGAGCTGTATATGATACTACAGTTTGTACTTTTTAAGTGGCGCAAAGAATAATTAAATAAATTGTGATAATTCTATCTCCATCAATTTCTAACCACCTAATTTAGGATGATTGAGCACAAGAGCTCTTGATGTGCTGTTCCCCTTTGTGTCATCTGTCTTTGATATTGTGCTATGCTAGCAGGAAATGACTATTTTTTATTGATGTAATTAAACATATTCATAGGCAGAGACAATCCTTTTTTTCTCCTTTTTTTTTTGTTTCTTGTTAACAACTCCTACAGTAAAAAGAGTTGGGGTTTAAAATTTGGAAGTAGGAAAAGCAAACAGAGAAAGCCCGTGTGGTAATGAGGTCCCAAACATGCTTGAAATTCCATATATTGCATTCAAAACACAGAGTGCCCTATGTTTGGAGGACTGTAACAAAATCTACACTGTTTGAGGGCAGGAGACCAATAAAAGACTCTCATCGGCTACGATACCCAAACCCTAAAAGAAAACCATTGCCACCAACTTTAGGCAAGCAATGAGGGAAAAAGACTTTTGTTTTGATGATGCGCTTTATTGCTGGAGTTGGCTTTTTCAAAACTAATCACCAAAAAAGAACCATGGAAATAGAGGCATACTTTTTGTCTGATACCACAAATGAAGAAGAAAGAAGGAATTGGCTGGTTGTCAACTCTTGGTTAAGGACTGGGTCATAAAAGAGCCCAGCCAAAATTCTACAGTGAGAATCACAGCCTCACTGCCAAATAGTCCATCAAAATGTGGGTTCATTGTATGGGAACAGTCAACATCCTTTGAGAAATGGAAAACTGTGATCATCCTTTGGTGTACCTCAAGTTGCCACCTTTGGGTACCCAACAAGGTTCCCATCATTAAAAGGATGTTTTTTGAATTCACCCACTTTGGTTTGGACCTGTTTTTTTCACACGTGAAGTCAATGCTTGCCATTCCATAATCTAACCTTTCATCTTTTTGTCTCTATGCAAATATATGTACATGGGTATTAACATGTATATATATATATATATATATACATATTCTACACAAATTGGTTTATATCCAAGTCATTCACCCCACATGCAATTTAAAGTCAAACTGGAGAGTTGATAGAAAGAAGGGAAAACAATTAACCGTGTTGGAACACGGTTTCGATACCTCGTCGACGTTTTCAAACGACGGAGTATATCGGTTCGTCGGCGCTGTGAATGGACGGCCGTTTCACGACCAGCGCCGTCCGTGATTTGTCGTTCGTCAGGGGCCGAGCGGGGCCAGGGTCCCACTCTCTCTCGATGGAAGCCGTCGCATCACCTCGACTCCGATTCGTCCATTCCAATTTTGACGGGTCCGGACATCACACGCGCCGTGCGTAAAAGAAATCATCTTCCACTGTCGTCTTTCTCCGAGCTTCGGGATCGGCCTTCACGGAGCCGTGGATCTGTCTTATCTTTACGGGGGAGCGTAAAAGACGAGCGCGCGTTGCGTTCAGGGGGCTTCGTGACTTCATGTGTTTTCGGTTCCGCTCTGGCAAGAGTTGTCCATGTTGGAGCTGCGTTGCGTCGCGTGTGCTTGTCCTCGAGACACACTGTCTACATCACGAGTCGGAGAATCAGGTGGAAATTGCGATTCTCTGGACTGTGACCCTGCAATTGCAAAGCGCCTGTTGAACTTGGCGAAGTGAGAATCGCGCCAGCGTGGTGTTGCACTGCGTGACCACTTCAGTTGTTGCATTGAAGTGTAAGAAGGTGGTGTTCTTCTGTGAGGTGCGCCGATCTTGTGTAATCGTTTGTGGTTGCTCATCAATCTGCGTGACTTTGGAATCTTGGCTGTGATCTCTTGCGCCGAGCATGATGATGATTCGTTGGTCAACAGAGACGTGGAGTTCGTGCGCTACATTGCACTGTTATTCGATTAGTTGAATTTTTTGTCATCTTGTGCTTTGTGAAGTTTCGAAGGCTCGGGGAACATGCGATGGCGCTGAACCGTCTCTTTGTAGTGGAGAGTGGTGTTTGGGAGGATGTTTGTCAGAATTGTGTGGAGCACGGAAGTTTGAGTGCTTGAGCTGGTCGGACGTGTGCGTCAGTGTTAGCATTCTGGTTCATCATCGACTCTGGATTCGAAGTAGAGCTTTAGTTAGTTTGTAACCAGATTTTGCATTCCGTCGGCAGTGAAGAGTTGTGAAGTGGAGGAAAACTTCTTTCTGAGAGATCCTGCTGAGTCTTCGCATCGTGGATTGTCTTCATTCAGGTTTTATAAATGTGGAGTACCGACGATATATTCTTTCGGGATACACGGTGGCCTCAGCGTGAACCCTCGGTATTTTTGAGTGCTTTCAGCTCTGGCCCTTCCGGGATTACCCCCTGTGGCTTCTCTTCATTCTACGTTGACAAAAGTGGCTGGTTGCCAAGACGTCGTGGAGTTGGTCTGCTTTGAGTTCCTTTCGGGTCATGAGGCGCATGAAGACGAGAATATGATAATGGGAACGACGCAGAACGTTCCAAGCGTGGCGAGAGGAGGCCAGGTGAACCTTCTTTCTCTGAATTCCGCACTGAAATCTAGTTCCCAAAGCAGTAATTTTTGCCTCCCCTCGTTTTTGTTTGTTTGCTTTGTCTTTTTTTTTTCCCCTTCTCTTCTCTTTCTCTCGTTCCCTCCTCTTGAAGCATTCATTTCTCGGCCGATCACGACCTTGCAATATGTCAAGTTGCTGCTCTTGTTCGGTTTCGTTCTGCAATGCACACAGGAGTGGCACTCTCGTGCTGATCGTCCTTCTGTAGTTACGCTCAGTATGTAGCTTTGATTCTCGGTCCTTCATTCTTGACAACTGATTCCGTCACTTCGGTTGAGCCAAGTGTTCGCAGATTGTTTCCTCAGCTCTTGGTTGCAGTAACATGCTCATGAGAACGTCAGTAATGTCGATATTGCCTTACTGTGGCATTAAAGGTGCTTGAGATTATATGTCAAATGAAGAGTTGGTACTTGCCAAGAGTTCTGACGTTCTTCACCTTAATTGCGATTCTATCAGCTATCTCTTGGAGGCGCCAATGTGAAGGAGCTAACTCGAGATGAGTTGGCGTCTCGAGTGGCGCAAGAAAGAGTTATTCGTTCACTTGGCAAGCAAGCTGCTACCTCCGCCTTGCTTATTCAGGTAATGCTTGCCATTCAGGTGCACGAGAAACGCCGCTCTTTTATGTTGTGCGCAAGCGGGGTCTATTTGGGAAGACTTATCTCTCTTAATCTGAATTGCAGAGGGTGTGGAGAGGTCGTACAGTTGCAAGACAGGCTGCCGCTCAAGCCCGCGCTGAGTGGGACGAGCAATTTTTAACACGATTTGGTGAAAACCAAACTATGTTTTCTGCTGCCACAATCTCCAATAATTTGTTGCGCCCACTTTTCATGATCCTGCGACATTCAAGTTGTTTCGATTCGAATCAGACTCATGAGCGGGCTGAAAATATGGGTCGTCTCGCGATTTGTTTTCGAATACTGTTGCAGAGCATCCACAATCCAGGTGTGTATGGGTCGTTCTCAAGAGGACGTTCTTTGTTAGGTTTCAAACTGGTGCCCAATTGAAGGTCAGGAGAAGGTCAACCTTTTTCTTCTTCATTGTGAATTGATTTGATATGAAATTGTAGTTCCATCGATTTCTGTCGTCGAAGAGTAGCCATTTTCTTTTCTCAGACTCGCACTGGTTGTTGATTTTCATACTCTTGTAATCTGTTGTTTTTCGACTAAGGTCAAAAATAAATGTGACAATGTGGTTTTTCGTAACAAGTTGTATAGGATTGGATGTGCTACTTTATTGTCTTATTCGAAATTGAAGAAGAAGCACGGGCAGGCTTACTCTGTTGGATTGTGGCGAAAATAATTTGTTTTCAGATATGCATTACAACTACTGCGATTTATCTGTTGGATTTCCGGACAAAATGTTCAAATGGATGTATCAAGCCCGGCAACTGCTGAGGCTTGCTTGCGCTGCCTTAGAAAAGGAGGGAATTGGATCACGTGAATCAGAACCAAATGGGATGGATAAAAACTGTATGACGTTAGAGGCCTCCAATTTGGCTGGATTGGCAATGCGAGTTACCATTGCATTAACAGACAGTAGTACATGGAAGTGCTTTGATGAGCCAAGGCAGGAAGTCAGGAAGGGAAAGGCGAAACTTGTTGCGCTAGACCTGCTGGAATGGCTAGCAAATGGCAACGGTGGTCTCTTCTTGGCTGTTCGATCATACATATTGGCCAATTTTCCTGTTCCAGGCATTATGGATGAGAATCCCCGTCCCCGTGGTAAGAAAGACAAATTTATAATCACGGCCAGCATAATTACTATCACTTTAAGACCCCTGCTAATACTAGCTGAAGAGTGTAACAAAGACTCAGACCGCGAAGCATTGCAAGATGTCAAGGACTACAAACTTGCATCAACGATGGCAGCAGCACAGTTTTCTGCGCACATTCTCACTATTCCTTTTCTACCTCAGCGTCTACCTCCGCCATTGCTCCCAGCTTTGCAACATCCCACAGCTCTGTCTCCATGCCTGCGGTCTTTTGGGGTGGGTGTTCTGTCGTTAGTTTCATCTGACAATGTTGTACAGTGTTCGGAACTTTTTCACTGGAAAGCACGGTAAAACAGGTTCTCTCAGGCCTTCTACAGTGAAGATATTTTTAGGAAACTTTCCTCCAGTTCTTTGCTAGTAGCTTGAGGTTTGGGTGTATCCTGCGGATGTTACTTATCTCTCCCCTCAAATTTGACCTAATGCAGGTGCCTATTAGAAATCTGCTTCAAATGGCTAGAACTTCCTCAGCGTTACCTTCGATTCCCTCTCAACAAGGAAAGGTCGATCGTAATTTGGCCGGTGTACCACTTTCAGCTTGGGCTTTGTCCAATATCGTGTGCCTTGCTTCCCATACTCTGGAAAAAAATTCCCAGTTTGTGAATGGTTTGGTATGCCAAGAATATGTCCAAGCACTGTGTTGTCTTTTAGAGGACTTAAACCCGTGGATCGAGACCATACAGAAACGTAAAAAGGCTGAAAAGATTGCAGGGGAGGGAGAAGACGATAGGAGTGTGCAAGGGTCAAAGATCATTGGGATTGGGTAATTATCTTTTGCAAATGAATGGTCCATTGCGTGTCTCAGTGAAATCTAATTTTTGATGTACTCTTGTTTTCGAAGTTTTGCAATTGATCTATCTGAAATCAATCCTATCTCCCTGTAGTCTATAGATTAACAACGTGGGTTGTATGGCTTGGACTTCTTTTGTTCTTTCAGGAATGAGACTTCCAAAACTCGTGAGACAGTCATTTTCCAGTTGCTTGTTGAGAACTTAAGACCTCTGCACAAGGAATGGCATCTTCTTCAACTCATGAACGAAGCAGCACTGAATGATTCTGCTCCCATGATGTTTCTAGCTGCTAAACGATCGCCTAAGAGTACTACTAAAAAGCTCTTCAGTCAATCAGACGTAGCAAAATTATATTCCAATTTGCTGTCAGTATTTGCAGTGCTGAATCCCTTTGGAGGGGCGTTGCCAATTCTGAACCTTCTTGCCTTCACTCCTGGGCTGCTTCTCCAATTTTGGGATTGGATTCAAACCTCACCAGACCTAGCCCACCTTTTGAACTTAGATTACTTTCAAGGAGAACCTAGTATTAAGCAATGTGTTGAAATCCAACCAGTAAAACCCGATAAGTATGTCAATAATTCAAGGAAAAGATGTGCAGGGAGTCGGCTTGCTGCTGCCTTGGGTTTGAAAACTAAATCAAAATCTGCATGTTTTGCTGGGAGTAATAACTCTTTTATTGTAGACAATAATTCTTCAGGAAGGGACTTGAGCTCGTCCAGGACTCCTGAAAGGTTTTTACCTGGAAGAATGTCCGTTGGCGGAGTTTCGTCGACTAGGACACCTGAACCATTTTTTCTACCCCCAAGAAGGTCAGTGGATCGATTGAGGTCCACTCCGCGGCGCTCTCCTGTTGGGCGACCAATTTCTGATACTCCAAGAATGACAATTGACCATTTAGGTCCTACATTAAGGGACGATCGCGTTTGGAGATCAGATGTTATTAGTGATCGTGCCGACACAAGCAGATTTTGGGAGTCACCTCAGGTTGTGACAAGGCAGGGTGCCGGTCTAGGAAGAAGAGCTTTACACGGCCGTACAGAAGCAAGCAGGTCAGTTGACATTCGGTGGGGTAGTGGAGGTAATAGAGCTAACAGATACGGTGATCTGGAGCCCGCTAGGCGATCAGTTGATGTTATCAGATGGAGGGATTCGAGGACACCTAATCGTGCATGCAGGGAACCATGCAGACCTCTCGACATACTGGAAGCAATAAGGTACTTTGATGATTACTCTCGACATGTCCAAAACTCCAATTCGTGAAATTCTTTTCAACTTGATCGTCACTATAAACTTTTATATCGTATATTGCGTAGACTTCAGTTCCCCAGCATGTTTTCTGAATTCTATGACCACGGATCTCCTTTATGGCGTATTGGGTGGAGTGGGAGTGGTGGTGATAAAGAGGGTTTAGTTGAAGCGCCCCCATTACGAATCTGAACTTTGAGTTGAGGTTCTAAGTAGTTAGCTGTCTGAACTGAAATTGTATCAAGTTTACTGCTATTATTACATAAACCAGGTGAAAATACCGAATCCAGAACATTATAATCCGCAATTCCTTTTCCGGAAGTTGTCATTCTGTCACTTGACAAAACTGTGTTCGATTGAAAGGGATATGGAGACAGAAGTTGACGTGGCACCTCGGACGACGGAAATGGATATTGCTAAAAAGGGTCCAGAAGGTGTACCAGAGGACGTCTTACCTGTGCTTTTGCTGTTTTGTGCAGCGTATTCCCATGTACTTGTTGTTCTGGATGATGAAGAGTTCTATGAACATCAGGTGAGGTTGGAGAGTGTGGCATTATGATCAGTTTAATTGTTGTACTGTTTGCCTATATTAATTCCTTTTAATCGTAGAGTGTATGATTCTACTTTCTAATACTATTTTCATTTTGACCATTCAGTTTTTAACTTGCTTTTATTGCGTCTCCTTTTATCTTCCCGTTGTTTTTTGATAATCGTCTCTGATGGGTGGTTTTGCACAGGAACCATTCACATTGGAGCAACAAAGAGTGATTTCAGCCGTGCTTAATACTATGGTGTACTACGGGTTTTTATCTACTTTTAAACGGAGAAATTCTCTGCTTATGAGTGTAGCAATTAAGTGTCTGAGATCACTGTACGAGCGAGATTGTCGGCGTAGCTTCTGCCCTGCAGGCTTTTGGCTTGCTCCAGCGAGAGCTCTACGGCCTCCTATTGCTGCAGCAGCTAGAGCACATGAAGTTGCGGTAGCCCTAGAAAAGACTGGTGACTCGTCGCAGACACCTGCTTTAGGGGCTATTCTGAGGGCAATTCCTCACGTACTTCCATTTGAAGAAAGGTAGTGCTGTTTGACTGCCTCAATTCATCTCATCTTGTTCTGTTGTCAGAATAAGCCTGAGTATTGTATAAATAATCCATGTCACAATCTTGCTGCTTGACGTGATTCGCAGTGAGGTTCCACTGTCCACATTGTACGATTATGTTTCTGAGTCCTTTCTTTAACTAACATAGTCTTTTGAATGATTTTCCACAAAATTTACCTTCTGACTGTTGTTCAAATTAAGTCACACATTCTCCTTATTTATAGATTTGTTGTATTCCAGGATACACATATTCCGTGAGTTTTTGCGGAGCGATAAGCTGCTAAAGATGGGTGGAGAGGTTATTAGTTCAGAGCCAGGAATCATCGAGATAGCTGTGAGACGGGATCATATTGTTGAGGACGGATATGCTCAATTGAATGGATTGGGATCGAAGTTGAAGTCCTCTGTAAATGTTTCCTTCGTGGACGAGCTTGGTCTTAGGGAGACAGGTCTGGAGCATGGTGGCTTCTCCAAGGATTTCCTCACTGATCTTGCGAAGGAAGCTTTTGATCCCGGGTATGAGCTCATGTAACATTGGCTAGGTTCTTCTGTTGTTTAAATTGGTGTTCTAGTGTACTTTTTCGTATGTTTCAGCAACTTCTTCTCGTGTTGGCATGCATTTATTCCTTGAACTTTGTATTGCATGCAGATACGGACTTTTTGTTCAAATAGGGACAGAAGGCTTTCTTTGTCCTCACGCTGCTGCTGGAACTGTTGGCCATGGATTGCCAATGCTGGAGTTTCTAGGACGTATTGTGGGAAAAGCGTTATATGAAGAAATTTTGTTAGAATACTCCTTCTCACCACTTTTCCTCTCGAAGCTCCTTGGTCGGTGTTGTTTTCTAGATGATCTCCGAAGTATAGATGCAGAGCTTCACCGAAACCTTGTTAATCTCAAAGTAAGTTTCTTTTATAATGCTCCATATTGTGTAAAGTCGTGTATGTGTCGACGTTCACAATGTTTATATATTTTATCATTGGTTAGGTCCGTCTGGCTTTACTTCGACCATCCATAGCGCTTGTAGCTTTTAGTTCAAATTAAGTTTCTTCCAACCCTTTTTTTTGAGATCTGCTCACTTGCTCGATTATATGGTTGCAGCATTCCAAGGCAGATGCTCGGGACCTATCTTTAAACTTCACAGTGGCACAAGAACTGTCTGGTGAGCATTCTACTGTGGAGTTACGACCTGGTGGTGCAGATATCCAAGTGACAAATGAGAATAAGTTGCAGTATGTTCATGCCGTGGCTGACTACAAGCTTAATCGGCAGGTATCATGCATGTACAGTCTTGACTTCTGCATTCTTGAGAGTAAAGCTCAAGAATACCTTAATCTCTGCGTGCTTTGATACTTCTATAAATTTCCAAGTTTGGACTTTGAATCGAACTCTTGGTCCCAATTACTTATGTTTTCTCTACTGTTTGGGTTCTCAGGTTAGCTTAAAGAGTGTTGGTGTTGATGATTATTTTTTTGATGTAGATGAGACCGTTGGTTACTGCATTTGCGAAAGGCATGGCAGACATTATTGATCCACAATGGCTTGGTCTTTTCAGTGCCAAGGAATTCAATCAGGTGAGATCAGTGATTCCTTATGTCTCATATCTAGTCTAGAGCATATCACTCCCAATAGTTGTTTTTCATAGAAGTACGTGCCACACAGTACGACTATTTTCTGTTGGAATTGAGTAGTGCTCGATCAAGCTATTATTTATGTGTTTTTTATTACTTTCCTGGAGTATGAATTGAACGCAACTGCGGAGGTTGTTATCAGTTCAGCTTATTGGGGTTTAAGTTCTCTTCTTTGCAACAAAAAGTTTCTGAAGAACTTTTTAAGTGTTTATGCTGACAACAGTGGTTTGTACCGGGGGGGCTAGCATAGCTGCTGTCAGGCAGTGACCATGATTTTGACGTGGATGACTTGCGCCTTCGCACTCGTTACACTGGTGGCTACACTGACAGTAGTCGAACCATTAAAATGTTCTGGGAGGTATGTATTTTGCTATGACACAGCACGTGATCTTTACACATACACTCACACACACACACACACACATATATATATATATATATATATATACACACACACACATGTGCACAAACTTGATGCAAATTGATGTAATTTACTACCCGTTTCTTATATGAAGGTTGTGTATTTGCATTGTACAGGTGTTACGAGGGTTTGAGAAGGAGGAAAGATGTGCTCTTTTGAAATTCGTTACCAGCTGTTCTAGAGCCCCTCTTCTTGGATTCAAGTATCTACAACCTGCCTTCACTATACACAGAGTAAACTACGCTGTTCCTAAGTATCATTTTGTTGAAGGAACCGTTTCGGACTTGCTTTCAGCAGTATATTCTGTAGTCTCACGATATTTATTTGCTTTGAAAACGTCTTTTCTCAGAGTTTTAATACTGATGCTGATAAATTTATCTGTTCTTTTTTGTGCTAGTCTCGGCTTAATGAAATCCAACGTTTGCAGGTAACATGTGAGTCATCAATGTGGGCTGCGATCGGTGGGCAAGATGTGGATTGGTTACCATCTGCTTCTACTTGCTACAACACTTTGAGGGTACGTTTTAAGATTTTGTTTTACATCGTAACTTTATGTGTCTTTTTCAGACAGAATGCGACCAACAATACTCGAGGAACTTTTCTTTTGTTCACTGCTAGACATAACAACGTGCCCATTGTCAAATTTATTTAGCAGAGAATCTGAAAGTCTTAGCCTAAGGAAGGCCTCAGCTGCTGTAAGATGTCATGGAAACTAGGAGGTTTTGCGAAATTGCTGAAGAATCTGAATTATTTAATAATTTTTGTTCTCGTTTCTGCCCTCAGCTGCCATTTTACAGGAGAGTGAGCACTTTGAGGGAGAAGTTGCGGCATGCCATTAAATCAAGCACAGGCTTTGAATCCTCCTAACTTCTCTGCATTTGTGAAGGATTTTTAGAGCTGTTACATGTACGATGGGAAGGCGGAGAGTAGAACATTGTCAGTTGCTGTGTCTTTTGACATCATTCACACATTGATGTACAGAATTTGATTTTTGCCTGAATTCCTGCCTAAGGCACGCATGATATATCATTTCCTCACGCAAGCACTATACTTGCGTGACCTGTACTGCCCCTTTTGTTTTCGAAGGGCAGTGGTAACGGCCAGCATAAGATTCAATTAGGATAAAATTTTATAACATTCTTTCAGATAAGGTCGATATTTGTTAGATTAGACTAGGTCCGGTAAGGCTAGAATGGTCCAACAAGTTTAGGTCACTGCAGGGTTATGACACTCACCTATTTTATGAAAAAGATTCCTTCAAAGGATCAGGTGAGAAAAACCTAATGGTTGCCTGCTTTTCTCTGACTTGTTTCTTACTGCTTGCGTGTGCAGATGCTTAGTCAGTTCTGTAACCGTGTGAATGGAGCTCAGTCCCAATCATCATGACCTATCCAATCTTTTGTAGTTTCACACGTGCTCTGAAAAGTTAAAGCTGCCTGTTCGATAAACTGTTCTTGAATGATGCAAACACTCGTGATAATTCATGAGCTAATTACGCTATAACCGGAGTATCTTTTATAAATGACATACTTTTTATCTTGGATGATTTAAAAAATATATAATATCAACTTTTGTGTCTACTGCTTTTGAATGTAAATTACTAAAATTTACGATTGTTGATACAAAGTTAAGAAAATATTAAGGGCAAGTATACATCTTCTTGAATAAAAATTAAAATATTAATTATGCATTTCCCAACAAATTTAATTTTCTCAGTCAAATGTTAGTGGTTTAAAATATTTTTTTTAAAAAACATTTTTAATATGGTATTTTATACAAATGTCACTACATGTGTTCAATAATATACAATAGAATTCTTTGAAGTAGTTTAAGAAACTTGCACCATCTTCATACCTTTATTATTTGTCACTCTTGATATTTGTTGTGGTTGTTGACAAAGTTTGTGAGTGAAAGTCATCAATGTTTCTTGTCATCATCACAAGACATCACAATTCATCATAAATTGTGGAAATTAAAAACAATTTGTTTTAGAGAAATTCATTTTTTCCCCTCGTGTTTGAATATTGGAGCTGCAAAATCCTCAAAAATTGTCAAGAATACAGTCTTAATAATTTCTAAATAGATCAAACACCAAATTGTGTGGGTGTTCCCTTTATAAAAATGTCTAGTATATCATCAATGTGCATATATATACATATATATATATATGTATATTTTAAGGGGCGTTGTCTACAAAAATCTTTTCCATAGATATACTTGTATATAATCATAGAAACATAGAAGTACATAATCCTATTAAATTTCTAATTGTATTTGTTGTTTCTTGCTTCAAAAAACAATTGTGTTTTATTACTATTAAAAATTATAAATAAACATGAAGATATATGTATATTTTTATATTTATATCTAAAAAATAAAATATTAGAGGACTTGTTTTTATCTTTAAAAAATCTTGAGATTCTTAAAAATAAAACAAGGTTTCAAAAAAATGTCTAGAAGCTAGTTTAGGATATACATATATATATACACACACACACACATGTATATATATATATATATATATATATATATAATGTTTTTTTGCACTCTACATGTACTAACTGATATGAAGGTTACAGTAAACTGTTGATAACACTACAATGCTTCTTAGCCAAGTGCATTGGTTGTAGAACTCTTATATATTTATTTATTTTAGTTATGAGAATAAAAAAGAAAAAAGAAAAAAAGTAAGAAGAAAGAAACCATGTTTATAGCCATATGGCGCACCGAATGATGCTTTTGGAACCAAACTTTTTAATTTTTTTTTAATAAGCTCCTTTTATTTTTCATGAGTATTAAAATATTTATTTTCAAGGAAGTATGCTTATAACTATTGACTTCTACTCATGTCTATTTAAATGAGGCAAATGAATATTTTCAATAACCATAAAAAAATATCATTTTACAAAAAGGAATTAAAAAAATGATTTATTTATTTATTTATTTATTTATTTATTTGTTTGTTTGTTTGTTTGTTTGTTTTGTTTTGTTTTGTTTTTTTTTTTTGTTTTTTTTGTTTTTTTTTTTTTTACAGTCTTCCATTTATTCTTTTTAAAATACCTAATACTTATAGAAATTAAACTAACTATATTTGAATTAATATCTTTATCTAGCTATGTTTCTTTATAATGAAAAAATATAACATTGTTTTCTGTTGAGCCAAATATATTGTAATTTTTTTTTTTTTTTTTTTTTTTTTTTTTAAGACATTTGTAAAAAATGATAAAATAACATCACTCTTAAAAATAAAATTTGAATAACAATTGTTGAAATCAAGATGGATTAAAATTTTTAATCATTAATTGTTACATAATAATGAAGAAGATTAGTATGAAAATTTATTTTTTATTATTATTGCCAAAAATACCAATTTTTTACTAACAAAACATGAATTATTTTTTTGTAGATTTATTTAAGAAATAGAGGTAAATATATGCATGGATTTTTTTTTGTTTTCTCAATAGAATCATCCAAGGATGATTTTCAAGCATCATATTATAATGGCTTGTACAATCGTCAACAATGAATCTTAAAATATTTAAGAATTTGTGAAACATTTTTGAAATTATTTTAGACAATGTGTATAGCAAGGAATAGAGAGAAGATTACAAGAAATAAATGTCATTTTTATGGACACTTGTATTTGTGTCATATAGAATTAATTATTATCTGAAAAGATTAAAAATAATGTATCAACAAAAATAATATTACTTTAAGACAACATCCATTTCAAAATTTAATTTACTACATTTAATACATCTAGGTAGATAAAGAATTATACACACAAGACATTTATATATCTATCAAGAAGACAAGGATGAAAAAAGAAAAAAATCAACAATATTTTTTATTGACAACCTGAATAATGTTTATAAAATTAACTTGTATATCAAAATCTTCATCCAAAATGCATTTTAATGATCAAGCATGCTCTACAACAAAGAAAAAGACAACTATTTACAAACTCACAACTACAATCACACGTATATTTAGAAAATAAAAAATGTATACATACATTGGGAATTTTTAAATTGACCTAAGTATTCACTAAATCAACCCACCCACCCATCCCAACCATCATCAAAAAAATTTCCATTTCCTGATCTGTATTGATCAAAAACCAATAAAAAATAAAATGGTTGTATCCTCAACCAATGATGATGGGTGCATAAATTTAGTAAATGCTTGGGTCAATCTAAAAATTCATTATCTATCTATCTATATATATATATATATATAGATAGATGTAGAGTTTCTTATATAAAACTTCATTTTCCTTATTTTTTGTAATAGCGATGCACTTATTGTGATGGCGCCTCCTTTATTTATTTATTTATTTATTTATTTTTATTTTTTTACATACTTACATGTGTCCCCATGTTCCCACGGACAAGCGCCCTAATTCGCGGTCAGGGGAGGCGGTTTTTCCACGGCCACCGGTCTGCGAGGCGGATCCAAACACAAGGTGCACCGGCGGTTACGCAAGCCACACTGAGGAGGAGGCTCCTTTGCTTTTCGGAGCACGTTACGCTTTCCGGCGCATGGCTACTCCTGCGTCGTCACCCATTGATCAGGTGTCTCCCTCGGTCCCCTGTCTTCGAAACCCAACTCCGGCACCCTTTCTCTCCGTGAATGCTGTCGCTGCTGCAATTTTCACGCAGTGAGCGGTTCAGATTTTGGTGGGTTGTGAGTATTCGGACCCAAGGGTATAGAGGAGTGCACGCGGGCTTTGCTTTGTTTTGAGTGTGAGTTAGAATTTGGGGGGTGGATTGACAGAATGGCGACGGAGAGCTTGAATTTCAGTTTCCAGGGGCTGCGGCGTAGCTTGAATGTCTCCTTGTCGCAGTATGAGCCTGTCCTGCTGGTATTGGCGTCCGTGGCTACGTGGATCGCGCTCTCGGTGACAAGCTCGACTTTGGGTGCTGTCTACGGTAGCTTCAGCGAGAAAGGTGAAATTGTGATGTTGCTTGTGTGTGGGCGTGGGGTAGGGGTGGATGTTGTGATTTTGATGGAATCGGCGTGTGTGGATTGATTTATGGATTTGAGTTTAGTGGACCGTTTACATAATTTTCTAGATCCGGTTGTTTTGTTAGTTCATAAATTTATGTAATAGTTTTCTCGGGATTCAGATGTGCCAGTGCTGCGTCTCGAAATCAATGCGACAGTCTTATCAGGAACAGTTTGTGTGAATTTTTCTGGTTTTGTTATGTTGCGTTGGGTTGTTGTACACGGAATGTGTGGGAGACTCTGTTTCTGTAGTCACTCTCGTGTTGTATTCGTGCTAATTTGTAATTTATTTTTATTTATTTTTAGTAACGAAAAGCTCCCTTTCGCAGGATTTATTGGTTCGATTTCGTCCTTAGCTGTTAAACTTATCAGGTGAGTCGTGTTCTTCCTAAAGATATTATGTATTCTTAGTGGTAAACATACAGGATTAGAAGGTGGCTTTCAGGATTTGAAGGCTGTATGTATTCCAAAGTAGCAAGTTCCCTGCTATGGCGACGTCAACTTCCAAAGCTGTCTTTTAGGGACTTCCCTGTCATAAAATGATGTACAGTCACGGTTGTTTGCTGAAATGCCCTTATGAAGTTTCTGTCAGTCTGTATTTTCACTAAATGTATCAGCATTTGGGTTAGGCATAGTTAATCTTAAGTGGTTAGAGGATGTCCTTTTGACTGGGGTCATTTGTCGAGACCGTTTGGCAGGCTTTTACCTGGTGGAGCTAAGTACTTGAATAAAGAACAAAAGAAGGTGTGTGAAACTAAGTATCATTTGTACTATTACAGTTTCTTCCAACAGAAATTTGTTGGTTCAAATTGGGGTGATTCCTAAGACAAGATAAGCAGTTTGATAGAGTGAAGTTTTTCGTTTGCTAGGTCTCATTCATATGCAGCACCATTAAGGTGATCAAAGTGCTACTCTGAATGGGCTTACACTATGTTCATATCTCATATTTTCAATGGATTGTTATACGATAGGAATGCTTAGAGGTTCAACTTTGTTTATATTCTGGATTTCATTCCGCGTTGCAGGTAATGGATAAGCTGACATCTGGGACCAAGGGAAAGGAACTTTGGGCTACCGAACTTCCCAAGCAAGGTTTGGGACCTCAAGTAATCGAGCGTATGCTGGAAATTAAAAAGCAGGATAAACCTTGGGAAGGCCGTTGTTCTGGAGCAGTGTAGGTATTTTCCACGCATTCAGTTTTAATGCACCAGTGCGCTGCAGGATATGATCGAAACGAATTGGCAGGTCTTCTTTTGAAAGTAACGAGTGAGGAGGATCTAATTGCAAAGTATCCAGAGAGCAGACTTTCAAGCTCATGACCGTTCTTTGTTTTGGCAGATATATTGGTGGGACGGAGACAGAAGGTCATTTTCGCCTTGTAAACGAGGCTTATTGCATGTACGTCATCTAGTATCTTGAAAGACACTTTCCGTGCATCGTATCACATGCTTGATTTCCTGTTGAATGCCTCAAGGTATTCGCAACAAATACCTGTTATTTTTTACATTTGGAGCTTCGCATTGTGTAGCATTCATTTGGATGTAAATCTTAGAGGTGCCTAGTCTAGGTTTTCTAGTCTCATAGCCGAATAGGAGATTTAATACTGACTTTATTCTTTAATTTCAGGTTTGCGCATACAAATCCTTTGCATCCAGATGTGTGGCCAAGTATTCCTCGTTTTGAGTCAGAGGTGGTAAACATGACAGCATCCTTTCTTGGGAGTAAACTACAAGCTTCTGGAGGGATGGTCTGTGGTAATATGACATCTGGCGGTACAGAAAGTATTCTGATGGCTGTGAAAACCACCCGCGATTATATGAAGGCCTCACGTGGAATCACAGCTCCAGAGATGTAAGTCATTGCCTTCAATGCTACCCAGAGTGATAATACGATTTGATTTTGGTTTCATTCATCTGTATGTGTGCAAATTGGGTGTAACAGACTTAAAATTGGTATGCCTGGGTCTTGTGTGGTAGGATTATTGCTGAAAGTGCACATTCTGCCTATGATAAGGCGGCTCAATATTTCCAGATAAAACTGCGACGCGCTCCAGTGGCAGATGACCTGCGAGCTGATGTGAAGGCCATGAAACGCCTCATCAACAAAAATACAATTATGGTACATTCTCCCTAGTACATGTCACCGCATCAATTAACTACAGCCAGTATGAAGCTATTTATTTATTTACCTTTTTATTCACCACTTAAGTATAATTTCATGCCTCCTTGTTACTTGAAGAGTGCAACCAATTTTGCTATTTCATTTCATTTTTGATATGATATTTTCTATTATCGTTTATCACGAAAACTGAAATTTTAATGTGATCAAATGTATTATCATGGGCATGGTATATTGGTATTATTTTTCTATGGGACATGAGGAATACGTACATATTGGGTTGTTGCAGTTAGTGGCCTCCTCTCCAGGATTTCCGCATGGAGTGATTGATCCCATTGAGGTATCCCTACCCGTGAACTAATACACGTTTCAGATCTTCTTGAATGGCGTCTTTAGTTTCATTAAGCGTCTTTAATGGCTTGTACAGACATGAAAAAGGTTTATGCAAGTCACCTCTAGTGTTTTTGTTAACTTAACATAACAATTGTACACAATTCTCTGGATGGTTTTAGTACTGTCTGTATACGCAACGTGATATTTGCCTTCGTGGAACTCATGGAATATCCTGAGAAGTAGCCGACATATTTCTCTTGGACATGCTGAGCTCAATCTTTGTAGCTGGAAATTGTGATATAGTTTTGATTAGGTGGCGGGGATTTGCAGGAACTATCAGCGCTTGCTTTACAATACAATATTTGTCTACATGTCGACCTGTGTCTTGGAGGTTTTGTACTGCCCTTTGCCAAGAAGCTTGGGTAAGGACCGTCTCTTGGGTTTTGTGATCAATTAACTAGCCCTTTTAAGCTCACTTTTGTGGGCTGGATCTTGATTCTGTAGCATATTATTTAGTTTGTTTCGTAAAGGAAATATAAATTTTATGCATTACCCTCAATTTGGTATCTTGTATATCTTGTTCCACCTATACTAATATTTTGACTGATTTACTCCTTTTACAGGTACCCAATTCCACCTTTTGATTTTCGAGTAGCTGGAGTAACGTCCATTTCAGTGGATGTACACAAATATGGGTTGGGCCCCAAAGGCACGAGTGTTGTGCTTTACCGCAATCATGAACTTCGAAAGGTCGGACACATCTTGTATTTTTTGACAAATAATAAATTAGATTCTAATTCAATAACTTTGTTTACTCCTACCGGTATTTTTAGCCTGCATGCTTTAACGTGTTCTCGAAGTGGTTGATGTCCTTGTCCTCAATATGGGATCTTAGTGGATCTCCTTACATTCCTCTGGTCAATGCTTCTACCCCTTGACTTTGCTGTGGATTCTGGGACATCTTGTGCTACTGTATTTACTAGTTTTTAAAGCTTGAATTTTGGACTAAGATTTTGTGGGTTTGTAATTTATGTGCTGAGGAATTGTATGGTTGGAACAGTATCAATTTGTAGCTGGTGAGTTGTCACTTTCTGTATGGCTTTTGTTTCGAATTCATTCTGGGTTTTTTACTTTTTTTTAGCAGCACAACATACGCATAGACTCATGCATTCACATTAGTGTCTCCATAGTTTTCTGAAGTCTTTCTATGATTTTCTTGAGTTCCTGTTCACTCTTGATCTTAAATGAGGTAATGTTGCTCTATCTAATCCATCGTATGAAACAGTTACGGAATGGTCGGGAGGATTGTATGTGTCCCCTTCAATGGCTGGAAGTAGAGCGGGTGCTTTAATTGCAGCAGCTTGGGCCTCTATGATGTCTCTGGGGGAAAGTGGTATGTCTCAATCGCATGTACTGATTGTTGACAATTATTTGCATGAGTTATTTGATGTAGTGAGAATATTCAATATGGTGTGCATTATTCTGGTTCAGTCATGGAAAAGACTCTGAAATACTTTCTTGTGAGCATTAGTCACATCATGATTAATTTATTTTTTTAACAGGGTATACACAGATAACGAGGAAGTTGATGGAAGCTGCGAGAAATATTAAACTGGGGTACTTTGGAAAGCTTTGTCCTTATGACATTCAACTGATAGATTCAAGTATGTAATAGGAAATAGTTCAGAATATTACTGCCGTTGAGCTATGTTCTTAATTACTTTTGAATTGGTTTGCAGGATTCCTGACATCGAAGGGCTCTACGTTCTTGGAAAGCCTGATATGACTGTTGTCGCATTTGCTTCAAAAGAACTGAATATTTATAAAGTCAACGAGGCAATGGCAGAAAAGGGCTGGAGTCTTAATGCCTTGCATAAACCAAGCAGGTAAATTCTTAGAAACAATCGACATTTGGATCTTTTGGATAGCTTGTTAACATGCTTTTGACTGAAACCAATGCCGTCGTTCATATCCAGTATAATGATTTAAAGCTGTGGTGGTCATTTGCAGTGTACACATTTGTGTTACCCTCCAACATGTAGATGTTGTGGATAAGTTTCTGGACGACTTAAAAGCCGCCGTGAAATATGTGAGTATCCGGATCGCTTAAATACTTTCCCAATATCAACATCTGATCATTACTAGGACAAGAGGTTACCGTTGGTTTTCAAATATAGTGTTGTTCATACTACTTGTTGTATTGATTCTGTTTCTTAATTTCTTTGCACTGAACCTATTCCATTAGTTCAAGGTCCTCATTGGGAGTAGTATTATTAGATTCTTTTTTAGTATCGATGCTCATTGTTGTAAGTTCATGAATGAGAGAAGGAACCATTGTTTCTTTACCAACATTTTGACTTACAGATTTTTTTCTAAAAAAAGTGATTCCAATGCTTGTAATTACAGGTAAGAGACAATCCAGGGAAGTACGAGGATGGGATGGCCCCAATTTATGGTGCTGGAGCTACATTACCAGATAGAGGAACGATCCGGGATATTCTTGTTGACTACATGGACAGTACCTGTTAGACTCGGTATAACTCTCAGCACAGGAGGGGTTTTTGTTGAATCAATTGTTCTGCTTCTATGATAAGTATTAAAACGAAAGAGGTTTTTTTTATATGATATCCTAGTTGTATTAGGGTTAGTATCCTGTTCGGCATTTGTAATTAAAGTCAAAAGTATTAGAACCTTTTCGTAATCATGGCCGTGATCCTCCTGGACATGACGCTTAGTATTTCAGCACCTTGTATTGGCAAGATTTGGAACTTTTCCTTAACTCGAACTTGTAGAAAATAAGAATTAATTCTTGCCCAGGTACATTTCTCGTTTCCATACCGTCTAATTTTATCCAGATATAACGATTTGCTGAGGTATGACATGTCGCTGGATGATCTCAAAAAGAGTGGTTCGCCTTCAGCAAGATTAATAAAGCTGCTTTGAATTCTTAGCATGTTCCTATTAAACGTGATGTTCACTGTGGACGATTCTCTTCCATATTCTGGTCTGAACAGGATACTGTACTCGTGTGCATTGTGGAGATTTTGTTTAGGTTCCTTTCTAAATTTTTAATCCTTCTTTTGCAATTAGGCTATTAACCTGTGTATTATACACTAAGTCATGTCGATGACAATTTGACGAGATTAACTAAAACTTAATTTTATTTTTATTCCATTCTTTATTCTTTTGAAACCACACATTCTTTTAAATTGAGATATCATTCAGTCATGATGGATTGGTCTTTTCTAATTTGGTATAGTGTTATATTTGCTTATGTTTAAAAGTGTTTGTCCATGGATAAAATTATAAAAGGAGAAAATTTGTAATTCAACTGTAAAAGTAACAACAATCCTGCTGTGAAAATTTATTGATGCAACATTACTCGAATTATTGGCACAACCAACAATCATATTCACTTAGTAAGATACTAAAATAGTACGACTTTCTTTATTAGTTGCATTAGGTTATATTTTGTTTCCTGTTACAAATAATGATGGGCATGTGCTTATTGTAATTGCAAAAATATTGAGCTGTGCTCTTCAAAAAATACTTTATGCACCTAGGAATATTCACATATATAAATATATATATATATATGTATGTATGTATGTATGTATGTGAAAGATAAAATGTGACTTAGTACATGTTCACAAATAATTTTTGAAAACAAAAAAATCACATTCAAATATATATATATATATATATATATATATTATGCTTGCAAAAATATTATAATTCATGCTCAAATGCATTTAAAAAGAGACTCATCAAATACTAGTTTTATATTTAATCCTTACTTTAAATATGATGGTGTACAAAGAAATGAAATTATAGAACATTCAAAATTTGCCTAAATGTATTTAATACATATTTAATATTTTCTAAAAACTTATAAAGATAAATTTGATTAATAATTTGTTTTTATCATATAATTGTTAATATTAATTATAGTAACATTATTATTATATAAAATATTAAAATTTGACTTCACCTCAATGGCACACTCCCCACTCAAAAACGTATGTGGCAACCTATTTATATATGTCAATCCACCAATATTAGATGTGCAACATAGAATGTATCATGTGCACCTCAAACTGTCTAAGCTTTGCATACACTTGCCACACTAAAGAAGCTCTTTGTTTTGGCATTAGAACTATGTGTCTAGGTCCATCTTACCACATATGAAATGACAAATTATTTGCCCAATAGAACCTTATTACTTGGCAATTAATCCTATCTTGCTCTATAGCAAAGCTAGTTGAAGGAAATGCCCTTCTTGAAGCTTGTGCAAGGTTGCAAGGTTCTCCTATACATTTCTAACTACTTGGAGTTTTGCCCTACATCATCCTTCTAAATTAAGATTGTTTCAAATCTTTTTTGTTTGTTTGTTTGTTTTGTTTTGTTTTGTTTTGTTTTGTTTTTTGTTTTGTTTTGTTTTTTTGTTTTGTTTTTGTTTTGTTTTGTTTTTTTCAATCTATGTATAATTGGAAAAATCTAGTAGCATTTAGGCATTGGAGCATAGAGGTTAAATCCAATTTTTGCATTAACACGTCAAATGCTTGTTATTGATCACAACTCCAAGTCTATGGCTAATCATTGCTTGTGAAAATAATTACAGACTTTGCAATGAAGCTGAAATTATTGACAATCGAAAATAATAAAAATTCAAGCTAAAAAAATCTCAAAGTCATGAATTTTTTATTGGTGCCATGATCCTCTATAAAGCATCTACTTTTACATGTTGCATGCCAAGACCTCCTAAAACAATCATGTGGTTTAAGTGTAGTAATTGTTTGTAGAAGAATTTACACTTGCTATAATCCAAGTACAATTTCCATTGTCCTAATTGCTGAAACACTAATTGCAAATGTCTCACATGATCTTGTAGACTACTTCTAAAAAAAGATAATATTATCAATGTAATATTTAGTAAATTATTAGCTAATCAACATTTAATCTATTTCCATCTAAAATTGAGCTAGTGCATTCTTGAGACCAAATAGAAGAAACTTTAAGTAATAGAATTGATCCTTACTATTTTAATTAACTCTTCAAAATGTTGTCTTCACCTAGTCTTCTATAAGTAATGGGAACCAATGATCACCAAATTGCCAGTCCAAAGTGCTAAATATTTAAGAGTATCCTAATACATTAAATATCTCTTCTAGCATTGGTATGGGGTACCAATCCAACTTGGTCTTGCAATTAATAGGATGGTAATATCTATACATCACCTTCTCCATTTAATTGCCAAAAACACTCTTCTTAGAAAGCATAATTGTAGCATAAGTATACTTGTGATTGAAAAGCTCAATTAAGCTTGTAGCCAATGATTCATAACAAAGAGTTTTTATATTAATTTTTTCTAAGACAATAAGTTTATAAGGTACTTAGAAGATTAGATGATCATCTTTCAATTGAATATAAATAGATTTTATTTCAATAGCTTTTAAGGTCCTTGAAGCTAAAGGCAAAACAATTGTAATATTACATTTAGCTCATATATTACATTTAGCTCATATTGTAGCATATTGGTAAATAAGGTGAAGGCAATTGGTAAATAAGGTGAAGGCATATTATTCACCAATTCACCTACAATATGCCTTCACCTTATTTACCAATTCAAAACAAAATATGCTACAATATGCCTTCACCTTATTTACCAAGGTAAGAGGAGGCTCATCATCTTTAGATACAATTAAAAAAATTTGATGATTATCTAATATATCATGACATCATTTGATATTTTAATATCTAATGGATTGTTTGATTTTAGAAAGTATTGCTATGAACTCATGAAATAAAACAAAGTTAGTCTAAATCCAACAAGACTAATGGATATAAGCTCCATAGGCCGTAGCATCTACAAAGGTTGGAGAATTATGGAGTTGGTGAATATATTGTCCAATCTCTATTTTTTTTGTTTGAAAGTCACTAATAGAGGTATATTCTCAATAATATATCTAGACGGTGTAATTTGATGCATAAACCACTATTATATGAGTCACATTAAATTAATATATAAACTAGATTAATAGTCAACTAAATGCCATGTGACTCTAATACATGAATGATATTAGTAAGGCTATTTGATAATAAATAAATTAATTTAGTCTAATTTCTTCAAATATTTATTTCTAATAATAATAAAATTTTTAGGTAGTTGAAAAAATAGTGGTGAATAGCAAAAGAATATAGCTATTCAAATTATATAGTAAATAACTTTTGAAGGTGATATTGGACTATTCAATTGGATATAGTTTTAGTATACATATGAATGTATTGCATAACTTTGAGCTTGGCCTTCAATATTGCTACCAAATTGATATTAATATTTACAAAGAGTTCTACTAAAATAATACCTCTATATAATGGATGCCAACAAATGAAGAAAACAAAGATAGATATTAATAAATGATTCAATATCTTGAAAGAATCTAATGAAGTTTCAATCCTTGGTATTATTGAGTCATTTTTAAAATATTCTTGCAATGTCTTGTGGGAACCTCTAAAGGTAGTAAACTATATTATTTCATAAAATTAAACATAAAAGCTAATGTCTTGTCTATTAGAACTAATTCTTAAGATATCTTCTACGAAAGTGACAATAGTAAAAGTAGAAGTCTCAAATACAAGAACTATATTAATTGCAATCTTAGCTTGTAATTTAGCCAAATTTTCATTTATTCAAGGCTTAGTAACTACTTGAGCCACCTCCAAAGAGGGCATAGGCTCTTTACATTCTAACATCTTATTAATTAAATGTAAAGCCCTTATTGCCTTAGAATCTAAAATCAAAAAGTTAATAATAGAAAATAGATATTTATAGTAATTTGGAAGCTAAAATATATATTATATCTCTAATAATAGTTCTTCCATCTTATATTAAAGTTAGAATAGAAGATCTAACTGTAGAATTAATATTTGGAAGGCCAAATGATAAAAGCAATTGAACCTGAGTAATATAATTTGTATAACTATTACAATGGCTATGTAAGTTTTTTAGTGTCTTACATATAGTGGATGCCATAGTCTTTGTAATTGTTAGGACATGTATAGCAGACACAACTACAATTTTTTCAATTGTGCAAAACATATAAATATCTAGAGCATTAGAACTTATTCTAATTCAAGAAGTCACGTAAGACTTGATAACTTGGTCAATTAAAGCAATGTTATTGATTTCTTTGTTAGCTTTGCAATCTTGGCTCTCAAGATTTTTTTTTATTCAAAGTAAGTTACTTGTTCACATATAGAATAAAAGAGTGATCTTCACTATAATTAATTTTATAATAATGAGTGGACTTCAATTTCTTCTTTTGTGGATTTCTTCCTTGAATTGGCCACATCTATCTTTTTCTAAGGTTTCTTTGTGTCTTAAACTTTTTTCTTCATAAGACAATTGGAATCATTTTTGCTAAGGCTAGATTCACCACATGTCCAATAATATAGAGTCTTCTTAAGTTAAGTTTTTGCCAAGCTACTTATGAAGTAAAAATCTTCTTAAACTTAGAAATATATGTCATCTAGGCAATCATGTCAATAGCATCATATTGATAAAGAGCCATGTCACACTTCTCAACTTCATCAAATAATCATGCTTAAAACAATTGGCACTTATATGCGATTGATAGTTATAAGTCATGAAATTGGAGTATAAGTCACTAAATCAACTCACATCTTATGTTAGAACAAAAACTTGTAATAGAAGTGTCAATTGTCAAGTATTAGTTGAAGAAAGGTAGAAAGAATGCTAACTACAAGCAAAATAAAGTTAATAGATTAATTCTAATTAAGTGTAGAAATTCTAGTAAAAAAATCTAAATTTAGAAATTATCTCTTTAGCATCTTAATAGTATATAAAAAGAATCTAAAATATTCAAGATTCTAATATTATATGATTGTATATGGTCCAAATATAATTCATATATAATCAATATATAGTCTAGATATATCACTAGATATGATACAAATATGGCCATAAATAGTTGTAATATATAAGTGTATGGGTCAAAATACAATAGTTATATAGTACAAATAGAATAGCTATATAATAGAAATATGGTGGATATACAATATTGCATACCATACGGATGCGAGGACTGCTATAAGTATTGGGTATGAGTATCAACACGGTATTGATCCAGTAGATATCGAACATAGTATCGGATATGAGTATCAACAAGCTAGTGGATATCAAACATAGTATGCGGGCAGATGAGGCCTCATCGCCGACAGTGGTCTGGTTTGCCTTGGACCTCTATTTTTTTAAATTTAATTTTTTTCTTTTTTTCTCCTGATTTTTACTTATGTGTTTTTGGATAACTCCGCACTAGGCGGATCAAGATGTGCTCTCTACGTTGGATTGCAGCTTGTGTGGAGAACACATTCTATTCACAGGGGTTTGTTTTTTCCTTGTGATTTTTTCTTCTAGCGTGGGTACCGAACGTTGAACTGTGCGTGTTCAACTCCGGAAAGGCATGTTGTGGCTGGAGCGGTTCCACTGTTATCGACTTCACGTAGTAGAGGCGCGTAATTTTTTTCTTTTCATCCTTGATTCTGCAACGTGGACGGTTGTATGCAAGGTGCGGCGCTTGTCTCATTGAGTAGTGTTGTGCTGCTTGACGTCGGCAACAGAGAGTGGGGACGGTTGTCGATAGGATGGCGACTACTGTGTGGTGTCTTTGATAGCGGTTGCTGTGCGGAAGGAATTTTACCTTGATTAGTATGTATGATAGATTAACGGTGTTGATATAGTTGGTTGCTAATTATTTCACAAGTGCATTGTTGTGGCTCGAGCATGCCAATAAGCATATTAGTAGCATTTTTTTTGGACGAGAAGAACCATTTGTTGTTATAGTCACATGAATTCTTCTTGACTTAGTTGAGCTACGATTGGAACCATTTTTTTCTTTCTCTATTGGTAGTTGGAGCAGGCCTACAGAATGAGCGCCCTATAGAAAAAGAACTTGTCTTCAACGTTTGTGGTCAATAGCACACTACATGTTAGCGTAGAATTTAATAAAGGTGCGAGCTTGTTCTCATCACTGAATTAGTGAACATCAATTGCCAACATCGGAGCACATGGTCACGGAAGCAACGGAGGAGAGCTCTTCCGATCACATTTCCAGGAGCAGTGACAGCCTTTGTGGCCATTGACTTTGAAAGCTTGGAAGCCTGTAGTAAGCATGTGCAACATTTGACGTCTGATGTACTAGTGAAGATTTTCATTGCGGTTCAAGAGTGCCCATGATTGTAGACTAATTTGAAAGGAGGAGGATGCGGACTATGCTTGATCTACATGTGCGATCCGACTGGATTAGCAGAGCTTAAGACTAACGACAAATTGGTATGCTGTCGACATAATTGGATAGGAACCTATCCAAGTCGCTTGAGCACTTTATTATTTTGTGGAATATTGTAGAATTGCAGCCTGCGTGCAACAATCATTCTAGCATTCTGTTGCGCATGGAGCATGAAACAAATCTTTGTCACTCAAATCGGACGGGTTGAAGCAAAACAATTTGATAGAAGAACTAGAGTGAAGGAACCTATAGAAAAAGAACTTGTCTTCAACGTTTGTGGTCAATAGCACACTACATGTTAGCGTAGAATTGAATAGTGGTGCGAGCTTGTTCTCATCACTGAATTAGTGACCATCAATTGCCAACATCGGAGCACCTGGTCACGGAAGCAACGGAGGAGAGCTCTTCCGATCACATTTCCAGGAGCAGTGGCGCACTTCACAACGGAAGAGCCATACGAGGGGGTCATAGCCATGAACTGTGAGTTTTTCTCAATTAATAAAAAATCAGTTACAAGAATTCAAGATTGAGATTAAAAATTATTTAAAACTATTATTTCTAATGGTAGATTGTGGGAAGTGGATTAAACTCAAGTTTGGACTTTGTATGCTCTTGTAGTAAATTTCTAAACATTAACTTTTAAGAGTTTTGGACAAAAAATATCATTTTAAATATATATATATATATATATATATATATGTAAAAAATTGGATAAAAATTCCTATATTGTATCTAAGCTCAATTTTATTGAATAACAAATGATAGATGGATGAAAAATATATCAATGATCATTTATTTGACAATGGATGACTATGTGAAGATTTAAATAGATAGAAAAAAAATAAAAATTATAATTATAAGGATCACAGATTGCTATCACATGATGCAACGTATAGCCAATTGTTGTAGCAAGTTGTTACTTCTATAGCTTCCATTGTACTTGGTGCCTCTTTAATCTCATAGTATTCTAAATTATTGAGAGGGACAAAATTATGTGTAGATTAGCATGTGCTACTTGTTTTGAATGTCTCTCATATTCTTGAAACAATATACAAGCTATATAAAGGCTCTCATCTTGGATCACAAATACTAAGGTATTGATCAGATCATTGGCAAAGCACAAAGACATAGACACTACTATTAAGCAAGGATCCTACTTTATATTAAATTAAGGTAGAATACTCTTCAAGCTATATAATCATGTCACCTTATTCTATACTTACACAAAAAACCTAGAGCACTGTAGATGATGTATTGTAAATCTAGAGTAAAAAGTTCAAATCAACACTTGATTTTAAATTTAATGTAAAAACTATACAAACTTCTTGATGAGACCATATCCTCCTAAACAAAATTGGGCACCACCACAAAGCCCCACAATTACGAAACATATGATGCAAAATTCAATATTTGGGACATAAAATACTAGTGTATACAAGTCCACCTCATGCACTCACTTACAAAGAATCCTGCTTCCTTACTTATCTATGTACTTATTCATATGGTCTTTTTGATGGCAATCTAACAAATCTCTACTTCTACTTTATACCAATACTTTGTTTAGACCACTAATATCTATATTGCATATATCACTTCTACTGCCATATTAACATCTTTGATATCTTGCTTCTCATCGACTTGCAATTCAAATCCGACAACAATCTTTCTAGGTTTCTATGTAGGACAACTACAATGGACAAAGTTGCATCCAATAACTGGCTACAATAATTACTACTTATCTCATTGAACCTATTTGCTTGCAATTCAATAATTAATCTTAGATATGTACTTTTGTAGAATTTTGACACCTCCAAATTTAAGCAATATTGTTGTGAACAATGTTATGAATACTAATGTTGTGAGAATCCAACTTTGCCTATTTATTCTATTTCACATTAGTACATTACATAAATTCAAAGTAGAGAGATTTTTTATTAAGTAAAAGATGAAGTATCTCATCACCAAAAGTTAAGCTATATTTCTTGCTGTAAAAGAAGATTCTATTAGTACAAGTATATAGAAAAAATCCTAAACTTTATTCAATAGCTAAATTACCATATCCAAGCAAGATTCTATGATAAAGAGTTTTTTTCTTACAAATATTTATAACTTAATTTGACAAAGAATGTCAAGTGAAGAGAGCTTCTCTATTTAAAATCTTCAAACCGTAGTTGATATTAGAAGGTCAAATAAAAAAAACTATTAAATAGATAAATTTTCTAAATTATATTAGATTACATTTATTTAACGTGATTTGCCACCTATTGCCACGTCTTGTGAAATCTTGCAAATAGCATGGGACATATTTTGCCTATTTTGCATAAATACTTGTTTGGTTTATAGAAACAATTTATTGAACAAGGTAGCTTTAATTCAACCTTCAAAATAGATTGGTCTATACACCTTTGCAAACAATTAATATTCTTCAATAATTTTTTAATTCCATACTCAATTAATAAGAATCAAAAAAGACAATTGATTCACTCTTACTTGCTTTATTAATATATGAATATTTTGGATAGGTACTAAATCACATGTTCTTTGTTTTTACAAAAAAAATTCTAAAGAACAAGATTCTTCAATATTTGAAGATACAACATCTCAAGTAACTAATTTCCTAAAAGTTTTAAAAGTGGCTCTAAAAACAAATTATATTAATGAAGAGTCTATTAAACTTAACTTATTTTATAGCCAAGCAAGTGACCTCTCTTTTTATCTAAATTTTGTTCTAAGATATCAAGTAAAGAATTGATGACTTACTTTGCTCAACTTATGAGATAATTGCTGCAAAATAAACTTGTTTATCATTAGTCCTAGAGCTTACAAATGAAATATTATACTAAAACATGAATTTTTATTTTAGTAGAATGATATTTTGGCCTAGTCTTACTCTTGTAAAGTAACAAATTATACTTGACTTTTGTGGCACAAAGGCATCACAATTAACTCATATTATAAAAAAGTTGGTTCTGTCATTGACATTAATTGTGCAACATGCTCCTTCTTTAAGCCAAAAACAATTCTTTATAGATTTTGGAAGTATCTTCTACTTTAGGAAATTTAGAATTGGTTTACATATCTATTATATAAATTAACTTCAAATCCTTGGAAAACTTTTTTTTGTATAAGCAAGTTATTTTAAGAAAGAATATTTTTTCTTGATTTAGATGTTTTTACAAAATTTGATCATTGTTGAGAGATTTTAATTTATGGACCATTTAGATTTAAAGGAATAAATTTGTATTTGGAAATGAAGTATGCAATGACTTCTATTCTAGAACTCTACTCTAACAAGGTCTTATTTACTATGGAAAGCTTAATTGAGATTTCTTATAGAAAAAAATAGGTGAACATCCAAAATAAGAAACTCTTCTTTTTACAACATAGGAAAAACCATGGATGATAAAATAAAAATGTCAAGTTCGTGATAGTAGATGATAATTAAGAAGAACTTTGGGATACCACAATGTAGTTCAATATTGCATGCTAGAGCAATAATTTGAGAAGAAATAACAATTACTTTCCATAGTAAATAAGACCTTTCCATAAATTACTTTCCATAGTAAATACGTACGTTTTCATCCACGCTGGGCGACCGGTTCTTTCCACCTCCCCATGATGCAAAGCAGGTCATCATTGACGAAAAGCGTCCTCCTCGTCTAGAGACGACTGACAATTCCCAGTTGCAAACGGTTATCGCCCGGGGCACAATCACGCTGTGGTCTGGTGCCCTGCGATTCATCGACGAACCCATCTGGAAGGCGAGGTGGTTATGCAGATCTTGTGCAAGTAGTGACCAGCTTCATCGTAGTCACGAAGGAATCGGACGATTGCCGTCGTCGTAGCGAAAAAAAACGCGTTTCAATTTCGAGAAGCTGTGATTCAGTTCTGCAAGCGATAGCTGGATTGTGTGCCAGCCAAGAGCTGGTTTTGTGTCTCAAGCGCATGATTTGTGACATGCAGGGAATTCGAAAAGCGGTGAATCGGCGTCTCTCTGTCTCTCTCTCTTCTGTGTTTCGCTGGATTTAACGATGCAACAGTTTTCTGTTGAGGTAGCGGAGAGTGGCTGTGTTGCTGGGGTATTGGCGAGTAATGAGGGTTGCTCTACTTGGGGTGGGGATGGTTGCCAGCGCCGCAATGGCCCTGTGGGATCCATGGCCAGGTGAGCTCTAGCAATGCTCTATCGCGTATGAGTATATTGAAGCAGCATGATAATGTAGGGGAAACGAGATGGCCTCCAAAAAAGCAGCATCTCCACTGCCTCTAACTCCGCCTTTGCCAGTGCTGGATGAATATGAGGAGGGTGAGGACGAAATTGCCCCGTGCATCATCAAGGTCCAGGTTGTTGCAGCCATGAACGTTTGGGTTTTGGAATCCGGCGAAGAGAAGTCGAAGATAGGGTTCGACATCCGATTCCCGGAAGAACCACCTCCTCCTCCACCGGATCCTGCATTACCTCTACCTGTGTCGGAAGCGTTCTTGCCATGTGAAGAGCCGATTCCGAAGGGGGTTTGGCCTATGCCCCCACCTCCGCCCTCACCTGCATTGGATCCCGCATCACCTCTGCCAGATCTTGCAGCAGCACCTCCCGAATCTCCACCTCCACAATCACCTGCAAATTTCACTATCTCGTATGTGAGAGAATATACGCGGCGTCCATCCTATCGTCTATGCAATAGATTGGTGCAAGAAGAGATGGTCATCACCGTGTACTGGATCTCTCCATCAGGAATTACGAAAGCTCCGATTGCAACTGCGAAAGTGAATCTGGCAGGACTGCTGAATTTACCGTCTGATAGGTCTAATCTGGAGATTATTGCCTCCTTGACGCCGTATGTAGAGCCCGTTGAGGCTGCTCCAACTGTAACTCCTGTTGGCAAGGTAAAGAAGGCAGGTCCTACCCCTCCTCCGAAGAAAGGATCCTCTAATCCACCACCAGCTGCACCTGTTCCACCTGCGGAGAATAAACCTCTTCTCCTAGACGGGGCAACTCTGAAAATTTCTATGAATACCAGCACGCCCCTGGTCACCGAAGCTGATCGCAAGGATGGTTTTGTGATGGAGATCGGTGTCGTGACAATACGAAAACTACCTCCGAAAGTTCAACAGTATGGAACGCCAACAGGTGGGGTGCCACAGACCTTCAATTATACAGTTGGGTTTCCAATTCCAGGATTCACACCAGATTCAACTTGGTGGAACTCGGTGAACGACGTTGGCGAGGGGGTAGACAAGGCAAGCTTCGGCCTATTCAAAGCCACGACAGGTTCTGTAATGCAAGAAGAAGTAATGGTTCCGAAAGTTTTGGTTCCAGATGTGGATCCATCCGTGGGTCCCTGCGAGCTCAAGAGGCTCCTGTTCGGAAGCGAGGAGGTAAAACCCGATTGCCACGTCGAGAATTCCAAGGCGGATGAGTTCGGGTACCCAGCCGTCGTTCAAGAGGTGCACAACATCGTGGTATGGAAGGAAACCGGGATCAAGAGATATCTTACAGGGCAGGGCGCGAACGAGTTGCGAGAGAATTTACGGAAGAAGAAGAAGTGCATTCAAGGCACTGTGGCGAGATATGTGACGGAAGAGAGCTTCAATACTTACTGCGATCCTTTCTTCGACCGCTACCGTGCGACCTTTGATCTAGACTTGAAGCCGTTCCTTGACAAAGAAGGGTCGACGCGCCATACCATTTCCTGTCCATTGAAGGATTTCGTTGAAGTTACGGGAGGCACGATTTGCCTTCGAGAAACGCGACCTTCAAAGGGGAAGCCCGTTGAAGATGATTTCGGACCACCTCCGGTTGCTCCTGTGGCTGCCAAAGGCGCACTACCACCACCTCCCGCTGTTCCGTTGCCGAATGCTTGGGCCGAGAATGGGTCTGTAATTTTTGTCACAATCAAAACGAGTAGCCCCTTTGAGCCCGTGTGGACACCACCTCCCGAACCTGAACTCGAAGTGGAGGATCTCATTCCGAATCGTCCCAAATGCCTCAACCTGCATGACGCTGTGAATGATTCGACCAATAAATTTAAAGAATTCGTAAAAATCGCAGCTCAGGACATCTCCTCCTTGCACAAGAAAGTGCTACAAGGGGAGGAAGTTGGGCAGATATTGGGAGAAGAGGCTTTACCGGCCACTAAGTCAAGGTACAAAAGCTTCGTAAAGTAAAGAATCGAGATGGAAGTAAATTAATGAAAATGCAACCATTTAAAAACTGTCGAACGTTGATGACCTTATACTTTAGGCTCCCTGCACGTGAGTCAATGTTTTGTGATCGTGTAGGAAAGAGAGCGATGCAGACGTGAGAAGAAAAGTGGTGTGGGAGTTGCACAAGTCAGGCGCGTGGCAAATGATGCGTGATGAAATGAAGAGCAGAGTACTCAAAATCGCTGCGGAAAAGTTTAGGCTCGGACAGAATGAGGCCATCACGGGTGGAAAGTTCGAATTCTGCAACTCGTTGTATATAAATCTGATGGAGGAAATCCATACATGCATTGCGGATATGTTCCTCAAGGTCGATTCCTTCAATTTCTGCTACTGGCACACATTTCAACAGTGCTGCTGACATGTTTCCTTCAACAGTGCACACCCGTCTAATGTTCGTGTGCAGCATAACCCTAACATCGAACGTCGTCACATTCGCATCTGCAGAAACACAGAATAGCCAATGCCTTGGAAGGATACGTGGAGTTAAGTGAGAAAGAGAAGAAGCTCTTTCTGCTTCGGCAACTTGCAGATGAGTATGAGGTGGGCCGCACAAAACTCGAAGTAAAAAATTATGTTGAGGTAGCATAAGCATGGATTAAAATTAATTTTCACTACGAATACGTCGTCTGAGGGAAAATCTAACCAAACAACCTTGCATTTCAGTATGCTTGTGACTACGGGACCGCCAACAGATATCACCAAGATAGGCTTCTCGGAGACACAATTCACAACCCCGACATATGGTTTGAATATGGCTGCTTTGCATTGCGTGTAAGCAAACAACAATTCGGAATTAAATTGAGATTAATACTTGGAAGTTCGAGAAAATTTAATTAGCTATACTGAGTTGGACGCATGTTCTCTGCATGGGAATAATACTTGCCACGCAAACTCAGTTCGATGGTATAAATGTGAATTGTGTTGCAGATGAAGACTAAGGGTCGGCCGAGGGAGCGTGGAAAGGCGGAGGAATGCTTTCGGGAGGCGCTCACACTGGACAAGAATCATTTTCTCAGTCTACTGGCGTTGGCTTCCCTCATGTGGCACCGCAACTACTGCACCCAGTCCGAAATCCTCCTTCACACAGCCATTAATCTCCACACCGAGGAAGAGTGGTTGAGTTGGTGCATACTTAGCCAAGTGTACAACGCACAGGGGCAAACGGACAACGAAAAGAGCTGTATCAGGAAGGCAGAGGTCCTTTATACGTCATCACATGGGAATCGTAACGCATACACAGCCCCCCATGTTCTTCTCTCGCCGCTACTCAAATTCCCCTTCAGTTGTGGACACTTGTTCCTTCAAGAAAACCTTCCCAGTAGCACCGTCTTCTTCGAAACGGGCCTCTTTCTCCTGGACTTGCACCTGCAAAAAGAAGGGAAACAAATTCTGGACTTAGAATGTGACGTATTTTCAACCGCGTTTGATAACAAATGGGCACACGCGAAGGTACATGAACTCAACGAGGAGTATGCGAAAGCAGAAATCTGGATCAAGGAGAACTTGTCCATTACCCATGAAGAGCCCATGTCCTGGCTGTGTTTAGGGCGTATTCGCTATTTGAACAAAAAATACCAGGAGGCATTAGAAGCTTATGAGAAGCACATACGCTACCAAGGAAACAAACAAGTGTACATGTATGTTCACCTCGACATAGGCAACTGCCACCTCCAGCTTGGGAACTACAATGCGGCCAAGAAGGTGTTTCTCAAGCTCTGTCAAGTAGAACCAACCACAAGCTCCTGGCTCGGTGCCGCTATCGCATTCTACAGAACGTGTGAACATAAGCATAGCGAGCAAGCATTGGTGGAAGCAAATCACATGGATAGCAAGAATCAAAGGGTGTGGGCATACCTGGCCTTGGTCTGTCTCGCCCTAGACCGAAACGAAGAAGCAGAGATCTCGTTCCAGCAATTGCAGAAACTCGAACTGCATGATGTTCACTTGCTACTCGAAGTCGCTGATGGGTTTGCCAAGTGTGGAAACTACCGGTAACATTCCTAACCAAACCTTCAATCCGAAATCTCTCATTCACAATAAAACCTCTAATGACAGAGATTAAGCACCGATCTCAAATGATTTAGACTTTCGTGAACAGTAATTGTGCGGCTGTATGTTGGAATGGAAACGCAGAGATGCAGAGGCAGCGGCAATGGCCGTGAGGAAGGAGGAGGAAGGGCAAGTGTTGGCTAGGTTCAAGTTAGGAGAACTGTATCACCAACAAGGAAAACTAGAATGCGCAAAACTGGAATATGAGAGCATCATGAAGCGGGAATGCGCCACCGGCGTGGAGAAAAGCGCCGCGGAGGAGCGCTACAACCAAGTCCACGACGCCATTGCCGCAGCTCGCATTCCCTCCTCCGATAGTCGCGTCACCATTTGAGCTCACCGACACTCGCCCACCGCGGGGCCGGGCCAGGTCGGGTATTGGCCGGCCCTGGGTGTTACCGATCCGGTTCTTATGCCGGGCCGAGCTTTTGTATTGCGGCGTTTATTACAGGTTTCATTTCTTTCAAACCACTTATAACATATTAACTCAAGGGAAATAGTATTCTCTTTTCTAGAAGGGGAGACAAAAGGAATTTAATGAAATTTTAGAAAAATGTATTTTTTAAAGAATGTTACATTGTAGATGAAAGATTTAAGAATGAAGGTGGTAGGTGCAATACAGAAACTTCGATTTAGGCCTTACTCAAGAATTATTGTTAGATCTGTTATCTAATAAAAAATAAATATAAACAAATAAATCCTTCAAAGTTTTGTTTTGAAGATTGTGAATATATCTTAAAACTTCAATAACTCAGAAACAACTACAATGCCTATTTTATGATCACAATTCCAAAGAAATAGGTTTGAAAATTGTGCAATTTCATTAAAACTAAATTGAAAGAAACCTGAAGAAATCTATATAACTGCAACAAAAAATCCTATCACAAAAAAATAGCATGATTATAATAACTAAAGATTTTTAAACACATACAATGCTTGTGCAACTAGGAATTATCACTTTGGAAAAAAAAACCTTATAATATCCACCAATATTTATTGGATTTTATTTATTTATTTATTTATCATTCGAAGTGCATCATTCAATCTTTTTATAATCTATAAAATAAGAAAAAAATAAAAATAAAAAATAAAAAAATCTAAGAATTAAAATTTGCATAAAATATAGATATATCAAAACAAAAACAAAAAATGTTTGTATTATTTTCTATTCTTTGATCATAATTTGGTTGTATAATTATATGTAATTTTAAAAATTCATTTGTGCTCTGCATCCAATTTATAGTCCTTATTTTTGTGTAAATATCAATAATATTAAACAAGATAAGACTTCATAATTATTTCTTATTTTAATACCTACCAAGTATTAGCAATTTATAATACAATAGAAGAGATATTGAAAGCATGTAGGAATATTGGACATGACCAAATACTAGAGTATTTCTAGATCTATACCAATATCTATGATTAGAATATATCATACTATTTTGCAAAGTGCATCTAAGATATGAGTGCCCAACTTAAAATGTATATTATACCAATTAAGAATATATGATTATAGCATGATATTTTAAATAGTATGATCCACACTATTCAAATTCATACTGAAATAGTTTGTAGACTTGTAGTATTTGTAAAAATGATTTGGCTAACAAGGTCACAAGTCCTATAAGTGTGCTTTGTCTACCGTGTCAAAAGACTTGATGTAAAAACCACAATGAGTAGCAAGAGGGGGTAAAGGAGAGTATTATGCAACACCATCAACATACTAAATTACAAACATCTACCCATATACTACCACATCGAGATAGGAACGGCAATGGTAGGATGTGTTTGAGCAACCATACAAACAAATCATTTTGCTAAAAACATTTAATCATAAAAATTGGTCATAACAATATCATATTGTAAATGCACATAATATGTAAAATTTAGCTAAGGACTATAAAACGTAATAGTTCTTAATTTTTATTTTATTTATTAAATAAAAAAATTAGAAAAACAATTAGATACTATAGATAATTAATTACTTAAGTTATAGATTAGAATAAAGATTAATGATAATGTACTTAGAATATATGAAAATAGGTATAAAAATTCTATTTAAAAAGTATCATAGTTTGTTAGAAAAACTCAGTTTACAGAAAGAAAATAGGATTTAAGATAATTAATTATTAAAATATATATTTGATATAAAATTTAGTAGATTTTTTTTATAGATCTATAAATAGATATAAAAAATTATAGAAAAAGAATTATATTTTATAAAAAATAGATATTTAAAAAATAAAAAGATGTTAAAGAAAAGATTATAAGGAGAAGAATTGAGGCCTTGGATATTAAATAGTGACTTTAAGCTTATGGCAATAGATGGATGACAAGGTGGTTGGATGGTATCTAAGAGATATTAAATTTGAATCTCTATGGTAGCATATGAAAGAAGGGAGAAGAAAAAAAAAAAATCTAAAAATCTAAAAATCCTTAATATATTTATTGAAGATATTCAAAAGGTTGGCCTCTTAATACTTGCATGATGGGATTATGTTAGATGATAAGGGTATTTTTTACCTATGGGCAAGAGTAAGGAATCTCCTTTAATAATAGCATGATATATGATGCCTATACTATCTATATATTTATCTTCTTGATAGATTGGTATATAGCTTTTCAAAAACAAATAATAAAAAAAAAGCCACAAGTTGGTAGTAGCTAAAATGTGATAGTATCAATTCTCTAAAATCTTCAATCTAATTTTTTATTTTTTTAAAATAAAATATAATTTATAATTTAGGATTTGAAAATAGGATTTAAATTAGAGTAGGATTTTGAAAATGGTAGCAACTTTCTTTAGAGACAAATATAAAGAATTTCAAAGAAGATTTTACTCTTTAGTATTAATTTTAGAAATATTGAATACATGGATTTATTGACAATCTAAAGAGCAAGGATATTTGTTAAGAATTTGGATTTTATTGAATGTTGTATATGTTTTTGAAAGTTTTTATACAAAAGTAGAGGAATTAGTAGCATCTAAAAACCTTGTGCTTTCTTAAGATAAATTATTTCTCTATGATATATTGATACTTCTACAAAGAGAGTCTTGAGGTACTTCTTTTATTAGATATAATAGAAGATGTGGATTTAGGATTGAAGTGCTAAAAAGAGTAGTTTTTAATGACTTGTTTTGTAGAGCAACAATAAAAATTTTAAGAAAGTAGCAAAGACACTACTAAAGCCTTACAAGGTATAGTTGACAAGATTGGAAGATTCAAAAAAAGAAACATCACCAAATTTCTTAAGATTTTTATATATGAGATGGAAGTATATCAAGTTCCAAAGGTAAAAATGATGTTTGTTTTTGATATTGTTGTTATTCTTAAGATTAGAGAAAGGATAAAAGAATTACATAAAGACTCTATTTTTTAGAGTAAATTTGTGGAATATCTCAAAGATGAATTTTTTGAAGTAGATTCAAAAAGAATAATCAAGAAATCAATTTTAGAATGGATTGAACAAAGGCTTGGATATAAAATGTTCCCAAGAAAATTAATTAAGGATTTTGAGAAGAAATTTGGCCGATTACTAAGATATGAAAGACAGTTGCTTGATATAAGAAAAAATAAATTATTTTTACAAGAAATAAATGATGATTTAAAAAACAAATTATTCTTTGATTTTCTAGATAGGACATTTGAGAATGACTTCACTAATGATTGGAAAAATGTGAAGGAGGCCGTTGAACTTCCAGCTAAGCAGCAAAAACTCAAGATTTGTGGTTATAGAGCACAAATGGATCTAGTGCCAACTACTCTAACCTCCTCATTATTTCAAAAGATCAATAAGTTTATTCATGATAAAACATTAGAAGAATTAATGAAAAGCATGAAGAATTGGAAGCTAGAAATAAAAAAAGTCTCAAAAGTCTAAGACATCAAATATTTTAGAAAAACCTAAGGAATATATGGAAAGATGTATGTGCTGTAATAGTCTATGCCACAAACGTGGTGAATGTGATAATTACAAAGTGGCAATCAAAGAAAGTATTCTTTATTTCAAGAAAGGAAGAATAAGGCTTTTAAGCTTTTATAAGCCTTTAAGGACCAATTTTGAAAAAGAGGGTATAAAAAAATTGGCAAAGGAGCAAAGAGAAGTAAAGATTGTTGATTCACTTACAATAGATGCCAAAAAGAGGGGTGTGAGCTAAAATAAACCTCTATTAGTTGGAAGTTTATTCTAATTTACAACAAGTAAATTAACTATGTGAATTTTAGAAGTTTTAACTATTATGTAAATCCCAATTAAATCACACTTCAATCTTCTTAAAACAACCAACTGATTGAGCAAAATCTCTACCATTGATCCACAATTGTATTAGCAAATTATTCACATATGCATATTTAAGGATATTCCTTCTATTAACTCTTAATTTGTTTATTTTTTTATTATTTTATTTAATATTATTTTTACTTTATTTAATTAAAATTCATCTATAAAAAATCATCTAATTATAAGTTATCATTTGTGAATAATTTTGTATCTATAAATGATTTATTATCCATGCGCAAAATTCATCCATAAACACTTCATTTAATAAATTTCATCCAAATCTTATTACTTTAATCCAAAACTTAAGACTTATTTAGACATTCAGCTAGTGATATGTCTGGTGACCAGGTCTTAATTTAGGTATAAATCTAGCAACCCCATACGTTATCGAGCTCCTAGTACAAGCACAGGGCAGCCACAATTGTACGCCGTCGGAATGTTGAGAATGATCACTAGCACGTCAACTTGAGTGCGACACGTCGCAGAGAAAAAAAATGCCTCAATTACAAAAAATTACAAAATTTGAGAGCGACGTTGCAGAAGAGAACCTTGAATTGCCTCTGGCCGCACTGCTTCCAATTGAAAAAACAAATGGCACTCAAGATCTTCTTGACATCTGCCGCTCGACAACAATCAACAAAAACCACCCCAACAAAAATGGAGCAAGACTGGATCAGGTGGCAGAATCCTTCGACTGCAACAATAGTTCAACGGCCGACCTCAAATCACAATCAACAAGGATATATGCACTAGATCAGCGCCACATTATGCCTCTTCTAACGTTGAACCAAAGATAATAAAGGAGGAAATGAAGAACCTCAGATGACGCTCCACCGCAGCCAACTAAAACTTTTCCAACACAAACGGCAAAAAAAAAAAAAAAAAAAAAAAAAAATGAACATAGCAACCATGATCCTTCCGCAATATCGCCTCAGGAAGAAAAAAACCGTTGACCGACTGCTGAAGCCGCTACACAATACTTTCGCTCTATAGGAATAACTAACCAATCTAAACCAAAACCGGAAGAATCCACGCTCCACTTTCGTCGACCACACCTAAAAAAACACACGAGTCACGAGTAAAAACGCTGTAGCTGTAGCACGCCTCTACCGCTTGAACAATCTTATAGTTGGATCTCTAGAAGAACACACCAAAAAACACAGAACTTCGATTCCTAGCTCTACATTGATCATAGAACAAAAGGAGAGGATGCTGCACTGCAGCACCTCCAGGGGAACAAAGAAGAACAACCCCAACCATCCACAAGGGTGAGGGAGACCCACCAAAATTCTTGGAGCTCTTTCACCAGATTACAAAAACAGAAACATAAAAGAGAGGGAAGATGGCGGCGGAACTACCCGAACTCCATCGGACTCCTCCGTGAAATCCGGCTGGCATTCATCCAGCCGAAAAGATTACATTTTTTCTTCACCTTA